TATTCCATGACCATAGAGACTTGGAATTGAGTCTTAATCTCCTCCAATTTCACAATTGACTGAGGGTTGACCAGATGAAAACCCTAGATGCACCACTCTTGACTGTGGCTTCTTCCACATAACACAACAACTTGAATAAGCTCCAACATGGCTCTCAAAGAACTCAATGAGCTTTCTTAACATCCCATATCCATAATCATGAATTCACAACTCACTGATGATCTTCAATGGGCCTCCAAGTTAGGAGTCAATCCACATACACCCATCAACTCTTTCACAAAACTTTGACCACCTCCTGATGACCTTGATGACCACTCATGCTTGAGTAAAACCCCTTTGTTATGCTCAAAACCCCTGGTGACCTTCTCTTGCTAGTCACAACTCTTGATCCCCTGCTAAATGGACAATGATATGCAATACAAATGCTAGAACAATGCAAAGAAACAAAAGCCAGCTAAAGAAAAAAAAGTTGGGCAATTTTTGGGGTGCAACAATATGCAAATGGTTAATCGATTAACCAGTGCATATTTTTGTGAAAATACATCAAATTCAAATTCAAATTCCCACCATACAACTTCATTAATCACCACTAGATCATTAATTTCCCTCCAAACTCAAATTCCAAGCCTAATTTTGTTTCCAAACCAAACTCCAATACACCAAATTTTCCAAGCCTAACTCCTATAAATAGAGGCCTCATTTATTTCATTTCACAAGCTTTTGATAGCCAACTTCACCTTGTCAAATTCTTTCTTGACTCTTTTTTTTCTCTCCAATTACCAAATTCACTAAAGCTCTTTCTTCCTTTGAAAGTTAGTAAGTTCATCATTAGAACTTACTAATCTTTGCGCTAAACCTTCATACATTCACTTGTTCATCACCAATTTCAGTAGATCGAGGCTTTGAAGTGTAGTTCTTGAAGTTATTTGAAGCAATTTCATATTTGAAGTGGTAAACCCTCATTCCACCATTGTTGTTCTTGATTCATCCTTTACAATGTGAACTATTGTTGATTCTTGTTGCTTGATCTTTGGATCTTGCAAGTTGTGTTTTATTGGTGGTATTTGATGTTGTTTTACTTGAATTTTCGAGCACAATTTCATCCTTGATCACGAGGTGTTTGAAGAAATGATTGTTCAAGGATTTTGCAACTTTCAAATTGATTTTCTGTTGTTTTTACAGTGTTAATCGATTAACCAAAAACAGACACAAAATGGTTAATCGATTAACAGTTGGTTTCTGCACCCATAATTGCAATTTTACACTGGTTAATCGATTAATCAGTTTTGCACTGCAAATGATTAATTTGTTAACCAGTGTCCAGAATGTGATTTTTGCTTGTTTTTGGGACTGTTTTGGTTCTTTCCTCTTCTTCTTTCATTCTCTTTTGATTTTTTCCTTGGAATATACTTTAAGAGGTCTTTTTCCTCTTTAAATCCATTGGACTTAGAGTGTAGATAACGTTGAATAAACATTCATTAATTCAAATCTATCTTTAAAGTGAATTGTTCAATTCATTTTAGGTACTTTGAGTTAATGATACGTTTAGTGCTTTAATCCACCAAGATGAATGGATGAACTTAAAGATGGAATGATCTCGAAATTGTAATTCAATTTGGTGTCCCCTCTCCTCTTCTCTTTTTTCTTTTGATCGATGAAAATATTTGATATCGTTTGAACTTATTTCAAGTTCTTGATGAAGATGAGATCGTTACCTATTTTCTTTTCGTACGGTATTGCTTTCAGAGAGTGATCTACATATCACTTTTCTAGCATGTGTTAGCACTAACATTGTTATTGACCGGTCTCAGATAGTCGTGGTTTCTACATAAACCCGATTATGATTGCTTAACATAGCGCTACATTATCCCGTAATTAGAAAATAATCATTTGTGGCTCAAACTTATGTTTGAAAGTCCAAGTATGGCTGATTATTTGTCTTAGGTCTATTACCTATGAAACTTATTATTAGAAGGCTTTGATTTTATCAATCCCCTAATGAGTTTTCATTAATCTTGGCCTAAGTGCACGAGTTAACCATCATTGATCATTTATTTTAACAACTAATCACTAACTCATTAACAATATCATTGTGTTAATTTTGTTTATGCTTCTTTCTTGCTCCCTATTTCTCTTTTATTTTAATGCTCCACTATTATCATCTCATATCATATTATTGTTTATACTTCCGCCATTTTTCCTTTGTCTACTTGGACCTTTTGTTTATGTTTATGTTCTTTTTCTTTTGTCCATTTAGACCAAAAACATTAATAAATGCTTAAACCCCTAAAAAACTTGTTTTGTTAATGGTGGACTATGGTTACTATCCCTTTGCATCGGACTTAGACCTTAGACCTCTTGGACTATTCTTGGACCCTTGGACTTATAATTAGGTCTCTTTCCCTATGCTTGGAGTATTATGGATCTTTGCCTTTATTTAGCTTGCTCATTTTCTTATGCTTCAAGATGGATGGAATTCTTATTTGGCTTGCTATGAAGTATGCTACAATATGGTCAGATCCTTCTTATTTCTAGCTTTTATTTTGCTTTCTAGGGTAGTCACTTCATCTCCTCCCCTTCTTAGATTTTCAAAATCCTCTCCCTTTTTCAAAAACCTTCTTGTTTTCAAACTTAAAACCGCTTTCATAAAAAAACTTGACTTTTGTAAAGTGATTTTCAAACTTTGTTTTCTTTAATAAATGTCAATCAATGTTAATCATATTTTGACCAATTTTAAAAAATACTTAAAAAATACAAAAACTCATTCAAATCTTTTTGTGCTTTTGTGCACTTTTCATTTTAAAAACTTTTCATAAAGTTTAGACATGAGTCATTTCTATAGTTGATATATAATTCTCCCATTTCCCATATTATTTAAGATGTTGACATTTTCCACTTAGATGTTGAGTGATAGACTTGTTGATTTTTATCCAAGCAAAATCCTCCATCTTTAGCTGATGTAAATGTTGTCTTATACTTGTGGGTGACTAATTGTAGCTTTCTCCTTAAAATGACGACTTGTCTTTACATTTAAAATCAATGATAACAAACCATTTTTGTTATTTGTACCACGAATTATGGGGTTTTGGTCCTATATTGCACTTTGTGGGTACGTAGGCATGAGGCGATAAGTCTCTCAAAACACAAAAATCTTAAAAAATATTTCTCTTCTCATCTCCCTAATCTCATTTCAAACAAACTTTTTCGAACCAAAAAATGTAGTTTTTTCAAAGGGCTCCTATAGAGTACTATAGACGTTTTAGGGGCTAACACCTTCCCATCGCGTAACCAACCCCCTTACCTAGTCTCTGCTTTGTTTGTTCTTGTTTTAGAACTTGTTTAGGTTTTGTTCACTCTTTTACCTTTCCTTTTTGGATAAAATAAAAGTGCGGTGGCGACTCTTGCATTTTTTAGTTAAGTTAATCAATAGGTTACCAAATGTATATTTTGTAGTATTGAATCAATTCTTTTAAAAACTACATCCATTGACCTAAGAGACACAACATTCATATGCTTAAGTCTTTTTATTCTTTGTAAAAGACCCACTTTCTTTAAAGCTAGGAAATCAAAAGTATCAAAGACAAAGGATATGAAAATATGTTGGACTCTCTATAAAAGATCCACTGTTTGTATCATAGTAAAACCTTCGGTCCTCATTCTCACTGGGAAACCTCACACATGCATGATTTCCTCCTACCCACTCGTAGACTTGAACATCCATTAGTCTAAGTGTCGATCTCCCCTCCTGTAAGTCAATCAAAAAATTCACATGCATCTATTTCTTCACATATACTTCGACCTGCCGAAATATATCAAACACGACATCCCTAACAAAATCATATCAGTATTTAAAGTTTAAAAATTCTTTACAGTCAATTTTGTGTTGTTCAAAAATATCCAAATATGTTTTACGGTAAACAGGACAAACCTCATCCATAAAAAGTAATGGAAAATATTTTAAATCCTGATTAAACACATTCTATAAAATCTATTAACTAGTATAAATTTTCTTTGTTGGTTTTTTAAAGAAAATTGAGAAAGATAATAAAAAAAAATATAATAAATAATTTTTTATGTATTAATTAATATACATTGTAAATATAATATATATATATATATATATATATATATATATATATATATATATATATATATATATATATATATATATATATATATATATATATATATATATATATATATATATATATATATATATATATATATATATATATATATATATATATATATATATATATATATATATATATATATATATATATATATATATATATTCAATGAATATATTCAATGAATTCTAATTTAAAAAAAAAGTTAACTTAATTATAATTACATTTAATGTTACATATATATATATATATATATATATATATATATATATATATATATATATATATATATATATATATATATATATATATATATATATATATATATATATGTATATATATATATATATATATATATATATATATATATATATATATATATATATATATATATATATATATATATATATATATATATATATATATATATATATATATATATATATATATATATATATATATATATATATATATATATATTAATTTGAGGACAATACATTCATAATATATAACAAATAAACTTATAAAAAAAGTAAAAGAAAAGTATACATCTAGACCTTAAAAATGATTTTTATTTTATAATTTTCATATCTGTTTTCTTATTGGTATTATTATTTTTGTGTTTTTCTAATATTATAAATAATTATGCTCTCAATTCTATGTACTAAAAAACTTCGTTTGCTTAAGTGATTGTTTTAAAGTTATTCTAAATTTAATTTAAAAAATTATTAAGATAAGGACATTGACAATAACATTTTCAAAAATAATACTAAAAAGAAAATTAATCAAAATTGTCATAAACTTGACCCTCCTCTATTTATTAACACAACTATCACTTAACATAGTTAATTTCACCCTCTCCATCATCTCATGGCAACTCCAACGACTCTCTTCGCTCTCTTCTTTCTTCTCACGTCCATCTTCGCCGCAACCGTTTTCTCTGTAAGCCTTTCTTTCTCTATATTGTTACTCACTCCCTCTCTCTAAATTGTTACAATTAAATATTTTTTTTATTATAGGAGGAGGATTGTGTGTACACGGTGTACGTTAGAACCGGATCAATCATCAAGGGAGGAACAGACTCGATCATCGGGCTCAAACTATACGATGCATCTGGTTACGGAATATACATCAAGGATCTTGAAGCGTGGGGCGGGTTAATGGGTTCGGGTTATAACTACTTTGAACGGGGCAACCTTGATATATTCAGTGGTAGGGGTCCTTGTTTGGACGGACCCGTTTGTGCTATGAACGTGACTTCGGACGGGTCGGGTCCTCATCACGGGTGGTATGTTAATTATGTTGAGGTTACTTCAACTGGGGTTCATACTCCTTGCGCTCAGGAACAGTTCACGGTGGAACAGTGGTTGGCGACGGATACGGCGCCGTATGAGCTTTCGGCTGTTAGAGATTACTGCAAATACGATTTGGGTCGGGCCAGACCCGAATTAAAGATCATCGATGCTGTAAGATCCGGGTCTGGGTCTGATTTCTCTATTTTGGGCTCTACTGTCCGGCCTAGATCAGACCAATAGATCGGTTATTTAATAAATGGTATTGTTTGTAGGTGCCTCTATTTGATCGTATTGTTAATGTCGTCGGATGTTTTTTTGTTTGTTGTTGGATGTTTATTGGGTTGTCGTTTATGTGAAAATGATGGATTAGGAAAACTGAGTGCGCACAAAGTTTTGGAAATAAAAAGATTTGGTTTTATTGTCTTTATAGAATAGATAAAAGTTGTTTCTTTTTTTCTTTCTAAGCAGGCAAAGTTAACTTATTTTGTTAGTAACAATTCGGTGAATACAATTGAGAGCTTTTATGAAAAGGTAAAAAATAGTCTAAGATGTGGCCGCATTGGATAAATCATGAGCTACTACTATACCACACTGGCTCTTTTCCGAATAAATTCAGATTTAGAGTGAAGAAAATATTATGAAAAGAATATTATGAGCACAAACTCAAAGTCATCACTCTCGTATTGCAATTGTATCTTGTAGGAGTCTTCCATCTCTTTTATTGCGGTTGTCCATCTTTGTAATGTATGTAGTTGAAGTATTTAGGCCTCAATTTTGTGGAGGGGATTGAACAATCATCATCCGTACTTGTATAACTCAAAATAATTTTTTTAAATGTGTTTAATTGATTTAAATTTAGATGGGCGAGTACACTTATTGATTTGAATTGTTGCGTCATAAAAATAACATCAACATAATACATAATTTTAAGAAAACAAACAATAACAACATACAATATATAATTTTAACTAGGGCTAGACAAAATATCCATTTCGAACCGAACCCGATAGGCCCATCGGATATTTGCAGCACTCGGGTGGGTATTGACGGGTCACGGCCCATCGGATATTTGCAGCACTCTGGTGGGTATTGACGGGTCACGGGTCAACGGATAAAATACATCTGGATTCAAGTGGTTGGTTTTAGGCGGTTTCGGGTGTGTAAAATAAATCCAGCGGAATCCAATACCGACCGACTTTTTAGAAATTTAATTTATTTATTTCATTTATTGTATGACATTGTTTGAGAAATTAAAGTTAATGTTAATAAATATATTTTATTCTCTCATTTCTCCCTCATCTTTCTCTCTCTCGACTCTCTTTTCTCAGTTCTCTCAACCCAGATCTTCTTCATTCTTGTTATGCCTTCCCATCTCAAATCAAAATCTAAAGTCACAACTATAAACATGCAAGGGTATTTGCATATCAGCTCTACCTTTTATATCTACCTTTTAAAGTATCAGATCTACCTTTTGGTATTAGATGTATTTGTTGGGTTTCTTTCTTCATGTAACAATGAAGATAAGAAATGAAAATATGAAGAGGCTAGAAGTTCTATGTACAAGCTAGATGTATTTGCTGGGTTTCTTTCTTTATTTGAAAAGTGTAGATTTTTCTCTATTTTTTTCTAGATTTGAAACTTTAAACCGTTTCAACTCACCCGAACAACCGACAATCCGTCGAAGCCGACAACCGATCTAACAGATGACACTGATGGACGGAAAAAGGTGGAAAGTTTTCATCCGCGGTTGGTCTCCGGTTCCTTATTTTTGATCCGCCACTGACCAAACCGAACCGTTGTCCACCCCTAATTTTAACCAAACAAACGAAAAAAATTGAATAAACCAAACTTATATTTACCTCAATCACATCTGATTCGCACTCTCCCGCATAGCCACATGCTCCTTTTATAATGTTGCCTCTATATTCTCATGCATTCTCTCTTCCAACCTCTGATCTACTATCTCTTTAATCTATTTTATTTTTGCAAATTTTGTCACTTTTTGACGATGACTTGAAAAATAACTTCATGTCGACACCTCATCCAACACTACATACACATCTACCATGCTCATTTGTTCCAATCGTTTCTACCAACATGTCATGACGTTGTTGTGGAACAAATTAATGCCCCAACATTGATTATTTCAACCAACGAATCCTATAACACAAATAAAAGTTCATTGTCAAATTGAATTAATTACAATTAGTAATTTTGAAAAAATGAATCTACTTACAATCTTATCAGCAACTACTCATGTAGCCTTTAATGTGAACTCTTATCCTAATCTTTGATGTGTTATATTTAATTTCTCATGTCGTGCTGGTGGAGATGAGTTACTATCTGTGAGATGTTGGATCGAACTCTAGTGTTGTCGAAGCCTGTTCGCAAGTAATGCGTGTTGTAGTCGAAGTTTGTTCTAACATGCATTAGTCAATATTGGTAGGGTTGTTAGCATGTTGAATTGGGTCTTGCTTGTAAGCCCAATTGTTTAAGTTAGGTTGTACCCTAAGTTGGCTTGTAATGGATAATTGTTAAAAAAAGCCCATTAGGTTAGTGTGCTATTTTATTATAAATAGGATGCTAGTTTCTCAATCTTGACATAAGGAAAAATAGGAAGATAAAATCTTAATTTCAAGAGAGAGAGAGGTTATTTTGTTATTCTTGTATACTTGTAATCTTGTTCAAAGAGAAAGGAAAGAATAGCACTTTAATAACCAATCCTTGTTGTTTTCTTCTTTATTAACCCTAACCCTTGTGTGTTTCATGCTAAGAAACCGTTTATACTTTGTTCAAAGGTATCTGATTCATAACAAATTGGTGCGGTGAGCATGGAGAAGATGCCTTCAACAAAGTATGAGATTCAAAAGTTCACCGGAGTGAACGACTTCGGTCTATGGCGCTTGAAGATGAAAACCCTATTGGTTCAGCAGGGTTGTTTGGAAGCGTTAAAGGGTGAGGCAGCCATGGACGCTGCGTTAACGGCAAAAGAAAAGACAGCATGATCGAGAAAGCCCACAGCGCAATATTGTTGAGTCTTGCTGATAAGGTTCTTTGACAGGTATCAAAGGAGACTACAACATCGGGATTATGGGTGAAACTTGAAAGTTTGTACATGACCAAATCTCTGGTGAATCGACTCTACCTGAAGAAAGCTTTATATTCATTCAAGATGAGTGAAGACAAAGTGTTGGCTGAGTAGTTGGATATGTTCAACAAGCTGATTCTTGATCTTGAAAATATTGATGTGAAGATCGATGATGAAGATCAAGCACTGTTGCTGCTGTGTGCTTTGCCCAGAACACATGCTCACTTCAAAGAAACTCTCTTGTATGGAAGGGAGTCCCTGACCTTTGAAAAAGTTCAATCAGCCTTGTATTCTAAGGACTTGAACGAACGAAAGGAGCATAAACCTTCGATGGTGGACGAAGGTTTGGCTGTTAAGGGAAAATTCTTGCGAAAGGATGGTAAGTTTGACAAGAAGAAAGGTAAAAGTCAACAGAAGTCTTATAGTGGCGAAACATCTAGTATTCGATGTTATCACTGTAAGAAGGAGGGTCACATAAGAAAGGTGTGCCCTGAACGCCTGAAAGATCATGGAGGTAATGGCAATGCAGCCATTGTTCAAGATGACTTCGACTCATCTGATGTTCTTGTGGTTTCAAGTGGCGACTCGAGGAAAGAGTGGATTATGGATTCAGGTTGCACTTGGCACATGACTCCAAACAGAGAATTGTTCAAGGAGCTATGTGATCAAGATGGTGGATCTGTACTGTTGGGAAACAACAAATCTTGCAAAATTGCAGGTATTGAATCTGTGAGATTCAAGCTCCATGATGAGTCAATACGCTTATTGACTGAAGTCAGGTACGTACCTGACTTGAAGAGAAATTTGATTTCTCTTGGTGAATTCGACAGAAAAGGATACGTTTTTCAAGGAGAGAAAAGTATCCTAAGAGTCATGAAGGGGTCGAAGGAAGTCTTGAGAGGCGTGAAGAAACAAGGCTTGTATACCCTTGAGGATGAGGTTGTAAGTGGTTCGACAAATGTTGCATCCACGAAACTTATGTCGAAGACAGAATTATGGCACATGAGATTGGGCCATGTCAGCGAAAGATGCCTGGTCGAATTGGAGAAGCAGAACCTGCTAGGAGGTGACAAAGTCAAAAAGTTGGAATTTTGTGAATCTTGTGTATTTGGTAAATCCTGTAGGGCGAAGTTTAACAAAGGCAAGCAAAGAACACATGGATCCCTGGATTACATTCATGCTGATCTTTGGGGGCCTGCAAGGAATCCTTCACACTCAGGTGCAAGGTATTTTCTATCCATCGTTGATGACTATTCCAGAAAGCTATGGGTATTCATTCAGAAGACGAAGGATGAAACTTTTGAAAATTTCAAAAGTTGGAAGATTCTGGTCAAAACTCAAACTGGCAGAAAGGTTAAGAGGTTGAGAACCGACAATGGCCTTGAATTCTACAACAAAGCATTCAACAGTTATTGTGTTGAGTTTGGGATTGCAAGGCATAAGACTGTAGCAGGTACTCCTCAACAAAATGGCTTAGCTGAGAGATTCAATTGAACAATCCTTGAAAGGGTCAGATGCATGTTGGTTAGTGCTGGATTGAAGAAGGTGTTTTGGGCAGAAGCTGTTTCGACAGCAGCTTACTTGATAAATAGATGTCCCTCAACTGCCTTGGGAATGAAGACACCTGAAGAAGTTTGGTTGGGACATCCACCTAGTCTCGACAGACTAAGAGTATTTGGCTGTGTGGCCTATGCTCATATTAGGCAAGACAAGGTCGAACCTAGAGCTCTGAAGTGCATGTTCATGGTGTTGCACCCTAAAATTTGCCCACCGGTTTTCCGACTTTGACTGGCTTTTGCTTCGTTTTTCATCTGCATATCATTTTCGCATTTTTGCCCGTGTTATCGGCCAGATTGAATTTATCAGGATTTTAGCCGTTTTGCTCGCGTTTCAGACAATTCAAATAATTCAAACGAGAAGTTCAGTGTCAAAATCGAGCGAAAGTCGCTCTCCTCTTGATAATTCAATCCATGTTGATAATATCGGCAAATTTCGGTGCTCGCCCGTTTTCCCATGGCATTTTGCATTTATTTATTATTTTTTGCTTTATTTAATCATTTAGAATAATTATTTATTTCTTTCTTTAGAATAGATTTTATTTTTATAGTTTTTATATAGAAGTTTAATTTATTTGAATTTTTATTAGAAATAG